ATATTCGGAAAGAATAAACTAGTTTTATTAAGAAAGGACTTGTGTCGCTTAAGTTTCGTAACGAAGTTACGGAAAAATCAATTAACAAACGGAGACGTAACAATATAATGCTTCTTTGTTTTCAGTACAGAGTAATGGCAATTTTGTGTTCAGTTTGAAAATTTATCTCGTGATTTTCAGAACAAGCAGATAAGGGAATTAATTTCAGACCCTCTTGTCTTGGCTAGAAATCCATTTAAATTATAATAGTTACAATACAATGTTTGCTTTGTGTGTGTTATTATTCTGTGTTATTAGGTGCATTATTTAAGTACACAGAAAAGATTTAGTGTACTAGTATCATCGTCAAAAAAAGTAGGCTTAAATTTCATCAGCTACCGACAGCAAAAAACAAAAGATCAAACTTAAGTACTATATTTCATTTTTTCGTGTATGTTTTCTATCTATTGTTATAAAAGTAACTAAAATGTAAGAATTAGAAACTTGTTAGGCTAGATAAAATTAGATTAAGTAAGATAAACTTATTATAATGGACGTAGCGTGTATGTAAGTATCTCTGTATGTACTCAAAACTCCTGCGCCATCTATTGAATGGCACTACAAACAAATATCCATAAAAATTTCAAACTTTGGTCATTCAAGATTCAGACAATTACAAAAATAACTGTGGTATGCGCAACAACCATTTCTTCATAATAGCACACAATTTTAAATAAAAGTACTCTCCTTACAGCAAGAACACGACTTTCACTAGGACTGTACGTGAGAGTTTGATTATGTCTTTATTGATGTAATTTTTAAATGTAATACTGAGAAACTGGAGTTCTTTAAAAAAACAGTTTTTCAATAAACGTTACCACTTTTAATATATAAAAACATTATAGTTTATATCAGCAAAATTTGTGAAGATTTTGAGCTCTATACATTGAATCATTTTGATGCAATGAGTTGCGTATGACTAAAGAGAATAATCTGAACACTTTTCCCGTGCAGTACTTCCCAGAAAAAACTTTTTTGAGAAAATGTTCTCTTATTTCTAAATATTTTTCAATGGAGTATGAATACTACGATTAATAATTAGTAGTACAAATAGCCGCCTGTGGGTCGGCGTTTCTACTAGTGAATAATAAAAATTCTTGATGAGGTATACTCGCGAGCAGCTCGTGCATTTAGTCATTCAATAGGTAACCTACCTTATGTGTTCGCCGAGAGATTTACATCTTATTTGGCGGGATTATTAGTTAGATACAGTTCAAAAGGCAATTAAACAATGAAATTAAGTAGAAACAAGCTATTTAGGATAAACAATCTGCAGTCATTCTAAAATTGAAATAGGGTAATTTAGATTTATTTCATATTTTTGTGGTGGTTAAAAGGTTGGTCAAAACGACCGAGTTTGTATAGAGTTATGATAAAGAAAATATTATAACATGTAACGTTTTTACTGAAAAAAGAAGTTTAATATTTATTTAGGAGGTTTGAAAGGTTACGCAAATGAAATTGGAAAATTTTCAGATGAAGAAATATATTTTTAATCTTAATATGAAAATCATTTTAACTCTGAGCAGTCAACACTCTGACTTCATTCCTTCACGGACAAATCTTTAGTAAAAATACTTAATTAGAACAAATTATTTTTGTATACAAAAGACTTGTAATGTTTAATGGAAGCTTGCCAAATTTCATAGAGATACACAAAACACGTTAACAGTTATAATATACAAACCCTGATGGTTACTTTGTGGTTACAAGATTAATCACATCAACTCACCTATATGGACCTATATGTGTACATATATATATATATATATATCATTAAGGATTTGTGCACATCTTGAGTAAGGTTGGTGATTTTTGTTTTGCATATTTCATTGTATCCAATTTTTCGTAAAGTGTACTGAGGGGGTTTGATGTGGTATTTAAATCATAAGGCGTAAAAATAATTTTTTGTGACACTGTTTTTTGTTTGAGTGTTGTGTTAATCTGCTCTTTTCATTTACACGACAGCCCTAAATCATTGTTAAAGCTCTAACTTTAAAAATGTGTTGTTTTTTGTTTGTTTTATGGTTTTCATTCTGCTTTTCTTTTATTAGCTTTGATAGACTACCCACTTTGAAAGTGGACAAGGCATCTCTGTGTTTTGTTTATTTATTTCTTATTCTTACTTATTTTCCTTTTTGTTTATGTAAGTGCGTACCTGTACATTATTTTTCTCTGTTGAAAGGATATTAATATGTTCATTGTTAAAGGATGTTTCGCATTATGTAAGATAATGTGTTTTCAAACTTTTGAAGGGTTTTGTTTTAATAGTTTCATTTTTATTATGTAGAATTATGTATTGTATTTCGCATTTTAAAACATAGAGCTTTTTATTTGCCTTCAGTCATTATGAGTTATTGTAGGTGGATGTAATCCACAAACAAGGATTTTTTTAAAATATTTCATTTCTTTTGTATCAGGTATTATTTTATTATAATATTTTGTTAAAGGATTTGTGTGGTTCATGCAACTTGTAACTGTTTTTTGGAATAAAATTTATGTGTTGCTTGACCATGTTGCGGTTTTAAAAATGATTGATATTAAAGTTAAATTTAACTGTAAGGGTGGGACAGCCCCCAGTGGCACAGCGGTATGTCTGCGGACTTACAACGCTAGAATCCGGGATTTCGATACCCGTGGTGAGCAGAGCACAGATAGCCCAGTGTGCAGCTTTGTGCTTAATTATAAACAAACAAACATGGTTAGGACAAGCTTGAAAAAAAGAGGGAAGGAAAAGTGTGATATGTGGGCCAAAAGTATGTTTTCTACCTGCTTTAGTGATATAGAGTTTTTTTTTAATTTTCGATTATTTAGTTTCTATGTTCTAGTGGCAACAGTTGGTCCAGAAGGTCAGCAAGATTACTTTGCTATAGTTGCTTTGTTTCTTTGTTCTTTATAGTATGTATATCTCTTCTGCCCAAGAAGATATTGAATGATATATAACATATGTGTTAAAGAGATTGGGTCTGTAATCTCCTTTTCTTGGTTATTATGATGTTGAATAAATTTATCAGGTGGCCAATTCTATGACGTAAGATAGATCACGATGTGACACTGTCAACTGGACAAAGAAAGCGAGTTTACCTGTTAGATTCAGGCACATTTTTTTACTAGATCATCAAGTGAAAACTTCTTTCAAAAACCTTGTTTAGTTTACAAGGAAAAGAAAGCTGTGGAGCTAAACACAACCTAATAGAAATAACTATAATTTTATCTGTGTAGGTATACACACACACTCACTGTGTTTCCTTTTATATTTTGAAATACAAATTTTGTTCATTGATGCAACTTTGTCCAAACTCAATATTTTACATTTAAGTTATCTATTACAGAACCCTCCCCTTCTTTCTTATTCGAATCTGCTGTTATTTGCGGGTTTACCAATCTAAAAATACCACAGTATTATTTGCCAGGTAAATGTTAAGCAACAGGAAGAAAATTCATATTTTGTAGATATTGCTGTTTGCTAAAGAATGTCACATTCAGTAAGTTAAAATGTAAAACCAGTTTATAATATTATATCTATATTAATTTCTTGTGAAAAGGATCTTTGTAACCGTCAAGCCAATTTTTATTGTCTTGGCAGTTCCCTGGTTGATTGCTAATTTTACTCTCTCAAGGTGTTCACTGGTAATGAGGACGTATTTACTGCAGTAAATGTTGTTTTGTTACCAAGAGGCCCATGGCTAGCTTAAAAGTCTGTTTGAATTTCATTAACATAACTCTGTAATACTCTACTGTTTTCACTGAATTCTAAGAGATAAACAGCACGTCTTTCAGAAAGAATATATATATGTGTGTGTATGTGAAACACCTTTTTCTTTATATCTCGTTTCTACAGAAGATTTTTGATGTTCAAAAAATCTTCGCTTTTACTAGAGTTGAAAAAGCTACTGGTTGTTACTTCCCTATAGGCTTCAGCACAAAGCTCCCTTCCAAAAGATCACATTACTATCTACGTCCTTTTAGCAGGTGTGGTGGGAGGTTTGATATTAGCGGTGGCTGTGATGGTGTGTTGTAAAATCTGCCTTCGAAAGAAAAAACCATTGACAAGGTGAGGACATAATAGCATTTTTTACCAAGCCTTTAGTGTTTCTAATCTTATCATTTTTCGTGTTAAAAGTAATATAAAGAAAAAGTGCACCTATAAGTAACCAATTACTTATGGTAAGGTTTAAGTGATCTGATGTCAATCATTTTCTCGTGGTTAGTAGCCTATACAGTTACCTTGGTAATTGTTTAAGCTTTTGTTGTAAGCTATATTTTCAAAGTTTCAACTTAAGTGGAAGTAGAGGGTGCCTGACGTTAAAATAGCCCTACAATACCAAGAATACTCTAGATTATATTTACGAAAATAACTTTGATGAACATTTAGAATTCAGACATCAGATATAAATAGAACTGAGCCAATCAGCTAATAAGCTAACAGTGAATTAATGAAGTATTTGTTTTCTCAGCTAGTTCAGTGCCAGTCATTCAATGAAGTATTTTGATCAGTGCTAGTGATCATGTATTTCCAGTTGTTTGTTTGATTAGCCATGAAATTGTACAAGTAAGTTTATTTCTATGTTAGTTGTAGTACCATTTGTGAGGTATTTCCGTTTGAACGTCATTTGTAAACTGAGGCCTACAAATGAAGGTAGCTTGTGGAAATATTAGGGAAAAAATAACTAATTTGTTATTGTTACATAGACTCAGCTTCGAATTATTTTCTTCAAATAATTTAATAGAACCTGCATAATGTAAAACAGTGCTAGAAAACTGGTGTCCGAAATGGGATTACTTTGGTGAAAATAAAATGTAACTTTGACTCAACTTCAATTTTCATTCAAGATTATTGCAGATGCATAAACAAAATAGTAAAGCTGCTAGAAGTGATAAAACAGTGAAAAGGAAAACAAACAAAACGAAACAGAGCATTGGAAGAAGGTCATGAAAAAAGATACAGAAAATTGCAAGAAGAACAAGAAGGAAGGACAGAAAGTTAGAATAATGTAACAAGAAATTTAAAGAAAAGACTAAGAAAAGAATGAAGGTCAAAGAAATAAAAAATATTGCCTTTGAACTGACGTTCAACAGCTCATACCACCCTACAAGGATATTATTATCAAGACTTCTAATTCTTAACTCTATGACATTTTTTTACAAAGATGGGCATTACCAATTTGAGACCATCCACTACTATTTAGAATCTTGTTTCCTCGACCCTGAAGCAACAAACACCACCACATATGTCTTCTTTGTTTTCTTTTGCTATTCAAGATATGAACCCAAGAAAGAATACGGAGAAAGAAATCATATCTGAAATCCTAGAAGACAGCATTTCTGTTTGCTATACCTTCAGCTTCCACGGCACCAAAAACCCGGCATACATGGTCAGAGCTTTGGTTGACAGCATTGACGTTATTGATCATCTTCTGCAACATGATGCTTATATCTTCAGACAGTGTTATTGAGTAGAGGCCTCTAGACAATTTCAACTTCGGCTTTTCTTAACTGGGGGAAGGTTAATGAGACATATAAGGGGGCCAAATCTAAAATTAGATAAATGGACAGCATTAGTTTGGGGCCAACAACATTTCAAGAAGGCAGACTTTTCTGCCCCATTAGTGCTAGTTCTGCTTCTAGAACTCTCTTCCCTTAGCCTTTACAGTGTGAGAGATGCCTTTACTATTGCTCACACTCTTGATTCTCAACCTAACCTGTCAAGCCCACATATAGCACATTAGTACACACACCTGGACTCGCCTTCCATTTCTAACACATGTCAGCTTGACAACCCTATTTATTTTTAAAAGCGTCACAGTAAACCTACCCTTAAACCTGATGCCCTGTACACAGTAGATCTAGTTGGCAAATCTGGCCTGCTTACACCTCCATCTAACTCTATCTCTCCTTATCCTACAATTCAGGGTATGCTGAATTTACTTAGAATTGCCCTTCAGAATATCCATCCATATCAGAAAGCCTTTATCCTGGATAATATTAACTATGCTACTAAGGCATTGTTTGAACTCGAAATGCAGGCCATCTTTCTGGTCTTAATTCACACTTATTTTCGTCACGTATGGGAACCAGAAGGTCTAGAATGCACACAAACAGTGTGCTAAACTTTCATTTTGTCAACATACAATCATTGTTCACTAACCTAACATTACATGAAACACTTCTTGATGACGATAACTATGATTGCACATTCTTTAACGAGACTTTTCTCAAGCTGTCATAAACATCAAAGTCATCTGTATATCATTTTCATTGCTGTGATCATCCATTTGGTATTGGCTGAGGTGGTGTGGTTGTATATACGTTCATTTTCCCTATTGGATTCATAATCCTCCTCAGAACACTTATCCAAAACATCTAATTAATATTTTCTTTCCTTCCAGAGTTATTACTTTCATAGATGCCATGTGATTCTTCCTGCTTTCTGGATTGTATGTTCTGCAGTTATATCATTCTAGCTGACATTAATTATCATAGTCAGTCTCACTCAGAACTTCTTCAATTTTGGGCTACCCTGTGTCATATTTCTGATTCCTTCCTACCACTCCCTTTTCGTAGCTGACCTGGAACCAACTCTAGTTAGATGTTGAATTAGCTTCAGCTTACCTTGCTTCTCTTCTTTACATCAGTATGCTTTCTCCTAGAGGAAGAAATCACCTGTCCATGAAGGTTCAACTGAAAAGTCATCGTATTTCTGACCAACATGATACATGCTGATTAGTCTGCTTTCTAATCTCACAAGTCTCATATAGTTCCATATTTAGACTTCAGTCTCTCTACTTTTTATCCTGCCCATATGTTAGATATCATATTCAAATCCCTTATTACTTCTGCCAGTTCATTTCCTGTCCCAACTGAATATCACAGACCTCATCATGTGGCATCGCCTCATCATGCATTGGCTCTATTGCACCTCTTTTCGACATATTTGTGGAAGTTTTAGCATTCTCGGGACCCTTATCATCTATCTAAACATTGTGCTCTGCAACAGACAGCTCATAACTATGTTCGAGCAGTGAAGCTTCTGAGGCGTTATTTCCATTTTAACATACTCCATATCTCTACAAATTGTTCTCTGTATTAGAAACAATTTCGTGTGCTTACAATCTAAAAAAAGGTCACAGTACTATACTATTCTTTTAAATGGTGTTGCATCTACTTCTTCAACTGAAAAGCATTTATATTTGCCTCTTTCCTTGAATTGCTATCTCATGCTCCTCATCAGCGTCTATTGAACTCTGAAGATGTCATGTCCTTGCCACTAGATGATCCTGCTTATGAAGATACACCTCTGCATAGCTCATCAGCCTATATCTGTCAATTGGATCAATTGTTCTTTCTATATTTCTATTTTTGTTCAAAGTAATGATTGAACAGAGAAAAAAGAACAGTACGAATAAAAGGAAGAAACATATATATGTTTGTCTAGTATACATCCATTATGAACAGTCATCACTTCTACCTTATCACATCACCTCTACTGGCCACTAACGTCTTGGCTGCAATGAAGTCGTGTCTTGAAATTTTTTCTTTTGTATGTGGCAGGGACAGATCAGTCGGTTGGTGTGGATTTTTCCGAAGAATGTATTTGCCATAAATATTTATAAACATTATCATTTGGACTACTTTCAGTTTTCGTAGTATGTTACATTTTGCTAGTTATTCAATTTAAAATCATTTCTGAGTTCCCTCAATAGACCTGTTTCTACTGTAAGGATGCATCATTGTCTGCTTCCTCTTGGAGAAACTTGCATTGTCTCCAAGCTACCAAAGGCCCAAACCTCATTCCAGACCGTCGGGGAGAACAAGAAGTATTTTCCAGCTATAATCATATCCCCATCAGAGAATCTCTTGTCTGTCAAGAATGGTACCTCTGCATCTTCCTGTGATGATTCTTCATTGACATTTCTACACATGCCTATGCTACTGTTACTTCTCATCTTTCAGTCATCACTGTCCTTGCTGCCAAGCCGAAACCACCTGATATTTCCCTTACATCGTCCTATCCATATAATGGCCCTTCAGCTCTTCAGCCCACTCCAAATTTACACTGACTCATTGCCTAGTCTTCTGTCTTTACTACTTTCTAAAATGGATTCCGAATTTTATACAATTCATTCTTTATTTTTGTAAATGTCTAAAAACCATCTCCTTGTTGACATTCAATAGATCATACCCACATGTATGGGATGATTGTGAAATCCACTAACCTCTTTTTAACCAATTTACATGGGATTTGGTACAAGAATACTTTTTTACAGGTTCCACACACTGACAAACAAAAATGTGGGACTTGCCCATTTTTAGTAATTATAGGTGGGTCAAGATGCTACAAAAAGCATAATTTTCGATTTTTTTTTACAATTACTCCGCCTTATTTCGACCACTTTACATGGGATTTAGTACAAAGATACGTTTTTACAAGTACTAAACAGAGATACAAACAGTTTTGGAATTTTTGTCTTTTGCTCAATTTTACAGCGAGGAAAGCACAATTTGGAGTTTTCGTGAACTATTCATGTGTATGTCAACCAACTTACATGGGATTTGGTACAAAAATACCTTCTTGCAGGTCCCTAGCAGTGATTTAGACATTTTTCAATTTTTCTGGTGCCAAAATTGGTCATGTTCGGATTGCGTGGCAGAGACATGTTTAATTCGCCCGCGAATGTTGGCCTCATTAATTGTGAAGCTATTCCCCTTAATAGAGAAAACCCTATTGTGTAGCTTTGCGCTAAAACAAACAAAACTTTCAGAACACACACAAAAAAAAGAAGACAAAGAAATACGTTATATTATAAAATTGTTCATTTGTTTGATGTTTTATCTAATAAAGGCTATAGCTAAAATTATCGAGACAAACTCCGCTGAAGCGTCACAGTCTGTTAAAATTACAATGTAACATAACAGTGAGATCGTGATTAGTGAATAAAATAAATTATTTGTCAGACGCTTCTTAGTCTAGAAATAGTTAATATATAAATAATCATCGTTGGTTCTTTCCCAGATAGAAAACTGTATGATCTGAATTATTGCTTTCTTTTTCCTTAGAATGCTAAAAACTTTTTATATACATAATAAAACTAGATAACTGTTTTTTTCACCTTTCATTCTTGGTTCTCCAAATTTTTTACCTGTGTTAGTTTTTAATTTTACTCAATTTATATTTTTTCTTTAAGAGTCTAATAGATGTTTCTAACAATCGCTTAAAAAGGACATCATCTCAGGCAGTCTATTCAGCATTTATTTTACACTTCAGGGAAGCATAGTTGTAAAACAGCAAGTGATTTTCTAAAAGAAAGGAAGTCGATGAAAGAACTCCGCGCAGGTCTGTTCTCATAGAAACAGATCTGAAGCATCCACGCTGTGAAAGGTCAAGATATCGTGAAATGTCAAAGGATTGTGAGGGCTTTTTTCTCTTTGTTAGCCCAAAGGCTTGTGTCTAAATAACCTTTACTGAAGCTGTTGTATTTTGTTCCAGTCATATTAGTTACTTAATCGACAACTTTCGCAACTCCGGTAATTCAGAAATATACAACCGCAAGTAAATGACTAACTTTATTAAAGTAATAATTGAGTTAAAGATTAGTTCAATAATGTAATGTGATTAGACATTAAAGACGTTAAAAAAGGCAAAATCATAAGAATCGTGTTCGTAAGAAATGTAGTATATTTCAAATACATTCAACAGTTCTTTACTCAGTTCTCTTGTTGTGTGTTTAAGGATGAACAAGTAATGTTGTTTTGCTTTAGTGGGATAAACTAACTCAGGCTAGAGATACCTAGTACTCACAAAAGTACAATCAACTCAGTAAGATTGGATCTCGAAACTTAGATTCTTTTTATCACAGACCAGTATTCTGTAGCAAATTACAGCTAGACACCGTAAAATTGGCATTACTGCGTTCACAAACAACCCACTTAGCTATACTCTCAAATGAATTCCTCTCACATACATATTGCTATATACATTTGTGTAATAAACAAAACTTGTGTAGATAATTGTTAGTTTGTAAATATATATATATATATAAGATACTTAAAAATATTGTTGCTTTTAAAAAATCTTCGTTAAAAACAGGTAAAACTTGTTCAACTGGTCTACGGTATTTAATAATGCTGGTGGCACATTTTAGATTTCTGGGTATTGAAATTAACTCAGTTTTAACACTTTTAAAAATCCCATGCCTACTGCTCTGTTGTACTTTGTAGAATTTAATATCTGGGCTCCCGTGCAGCTCAGCGGCAAGTATGGAGGCTTATAATGCTAAAAACCGGGCTTCGATATCTATGATAAGCACAACAAACAAACAAATTAAAATCTGGGTGAAATAAAACAACTCTTTACACCGAAAACTGAAACTAAAATTTATTGTAGTTCAAAACGGTCAAAGCTTTTAAGAAATAATAATATGGTATATCAAAAGAAGACACATGTACATATATATTGTTTGATGATTCTGTTCGGATAAATTTTTCATTGATTTTAGAATTCATCTGTTATTTTCAGACAGCATGTGGTCTTTAATCGTGGTTCCGAACGCCAACACTCGAGGGCGCGCAAGTATCATAGCCTCGATTCTAGTATTAGTGTGGATATAGAAACTAGCTGTGGTTTCTCGGACAACAACTCGTCTCCAAGGTAATTTTGATTTTACAAATAAAGTTTTGTCTGTCTTTCATGGCCCGGCATGGCCAGGTGGATAAGAGTAATTTTTAACATATCTCTGGTTTTAAATCCAAAATAAACAACTTAAAAGAAATTGGGTTGGGGGGATCTGCAGTTTCTATCATAGATAATTCTAATACACGTTTCATATTTATCTTTTCTAACAACTAATATTTTTAGCGATACTTACTCATCAACCAATATCTATTGCCACCACGCGCTGTTCTTTCTTCGTTTAAATATCTAAATTGTATTTTATAAATACATTTGTTATTTTGTTTGGAATTAAGCACAACGCTACACAGTGGGCTATCTGTGCTCTGCCCACCACGGGTATCGAAACCCGGTTTCTACCGTTGTAACTGGGGACAGTTCATTTGTAACTAAATATAATTGTCATAAGACATTAGTATTAGGCCTATTACATTTTATATGCTACATTCTTAATCTAGTCCCTTAGAAACTTTGAAGAAATAGAAGAGTGTATAATAAATGTATTCCAACCACATTATATTGCCCATGTTTAACTCTTCAGACCGGTTGAGTTAAAACAAATGTAGCAGTGGCCGGAACACTGTTTATATAAGTCATTTGATACAAAAATGTTGTTATGATGTGTACACCTTTTATAAGCCGGCGAAGAATGATTACTATTATATTATAATTTCGGTGAAACATAGAATGAAATAATGAATAACGTAGAGAACTAATCTATTATAAGATTCGCTATGTACTCTGGTCAGTCAAAATTAGGTTTACGGACTTAGAATCTTGAAACCCTGGGTTCGATTCCTCAAAATGGAGAGAGTACAGATAGTCCATTGTGTAGTTCTGCTTTTAAGAAACACAGAATTAACAGCAATCAATTTGATACTTCATCCACATTAAATTATTTTCGCCGAATGCACGGCTTATCATTACTGCTTGGGATAAGACATCTAAGTGTTTCGTGGATTCTTTACTCACTGGAACTACATATTTTAGTGACGAGGAGAAAACTTCACAATTAATTCATTACTCTATTTAATAATTAATTGTGACGGTATAGTTCCTTGTTATTGAAATATGTAAAATATTTCAGGTTGTTAATGACGAGTAAAGAAATTTATCAAATCCTTCAAATTATAATTCCAGTTTAATATTACCCACATTACAATGGGACGAATTTTCGAGTGATAAACATTGGGTGATTTGTCTTCTTTATCACTCCCTTTAAAAATCTTAAAGCTGAAATATTTTATTTGATACTAGATGAGTTACCTGACGTTGCACGGTAAAATTTTTGATTTGAAATGTGTAGACCAGTATTATTTTCAGCAAATTATTCAGTTAGTAGACAAAAACTGTGATGCGAGAAAT